TGGACACACCAACCTGCTCTCACCACAAAGGCTTTTCACTTTCCATCAAGCGTTGTCCCTCTTCCAAAACGTTGTAGGTACAAACTTGTCAGACAAAGGGAGATGTCACCAGTGTGTGCCTCAAGGGGTAGGATTTTGAAAGCTACTATTTTCTCCTTTGTGCTTTTTAAAAATTTCCTAATTATCTTCTTTTCTTAAAAAAATTATTTATTTGTTTATTTTGGCCACGTTGTGCGGGATCTTAGTTCCCCAACCAGGGATCGAACCTGCACCCCCTGCAGTGGAAGTGCAGAGTCTTAACCACTGGACTGCTGGGCAAGTCCCTCTAATTATTTTCAGTAAATACTGTTTTCTATTTATTTTGTAATCAGAAAATAAATATGATTTAAGTTAAAGCCAAAGTCACGAAAGACAGGGCTACATGTTTAAAGGCTGCTGCTTAGGTACATTGTAAGATGGCTCCCTCCTCTGCAGAGGAGGTGCAGCCCGGAGGGTGGACCCGCAGATGAGCCCGCACAAAGCCCACGGGCGTCCTCCACATCCTCTCTACCTCTTTCCCATGTCCCCCAGTCAATGCGCTGCATACCGCGATGAAGAGAACTGATCTCCAGGTGAAGATTCTGACTCATCAGTTAAATTGCCATGAAATGCTTTTTAATTCGTAATCTAGGATGATAAATAAATTGTTATTTTCCCCTTGTGAGTGGCATTACCTGTCATTCTACAAATGAATCTTATTTAAGAGATGCTTAAAATATGCATCAATAACATGGTTCTTGAGATCAAGCAGTTAAGGAGTAATTTAATCTGTGTGAATTATGGATCTGGATTCTTTCAATGCTATTTTCCTCTAGAGCTGTGAGTGACTCTTTTTTTCTCAGTTGTTATTGAGATTTACTTTCCGATTTTACAGAGGTCTCTAAAAAGTTCTCTATAAAGAGAAAACCCTATTGGCCTACTTGAACTTAAGCAACAAAAATTTCTTTCGGTATAGTAATTGATAAAGGTCAGGGCAGCAAGGTTGAGGGGTCTTCCTAAGGTTTGGTAGGTGGGTGTCAAGAGCATACAAAAAAGGTGACTCCTACTTCCTTTGGAAGAAAAATGACTTGGTGCGCCAGGCATCACAGCATCGCTAGAAGCGCTGGCTGCAAGTTCGTTTTTAAACTTCCCATGTTCCCTGGAAAATAACTGGACAAAGAATTGTGGCATGAGGTAAGAGATGGAGTGTGGAGATCTATTTATCGTGGATTTTATTATGTGTTTCAAACCTTTTATGTATGTCTTTGAGGCCCTTCAGAAGTATTAAGCTGAAATCTGCTTTCAAAGGTCAATGGTCCTTATACTACTCTGCAGTTTGTTCTATTCCTCAGAAAGATAGGTAGAGAGGAACAGATTTTAGAGCCTTGATTCAGCTCCAGGCCCTGTCCTGTGTTTGTACCTGTGAATCCCACTGTATTGCTCCACCCAAGGCCTGGAAACCTATGACATACAGAAGGCAACGCTTTTGTTGGTGTTAGCATAGCTCAGCTGTCCTGTGCTTAGAAGTGGGACAGAAGAACATTGTGGGACTAGCCCCGTGGTTTAAATAACTCCATCACACCTCACCAAAAGTTATTGATTCTGCTCAAGATAAACACCAAATTTGGATTGTTTGTCTCCCTTTCTGCAGGGAGTTTGACCTCTCAGCTGCCGAAGGTAGCTCAGAACCTCTACTTTCCTCTTTTTAAGTGGTCTGTGCTCTACCTTCCCTACGTAACACCTGCCAACTATACCTCAATGGCCTGTAAACAGCCCAAGGACCACATCTGCCTTGTGTGTTGTTGTAACCCAGAGCCCAGCACAGAGTTTGGTACATGAAAATGCTCAATAAATATTTGGTGAATAAATGGAGGGGTGAATTGACAGGTGAATGCTGTCACATCTCCTACGCCAAGTCCCAACAAATGCTTTCTCCAACCTTCCCTCCAGGTTGCCAGCAGCCCTATACTGTGTTCATATGCGACGCACTTGGAGGAGGTTGGAGCCTGCCAGACTGCCTGCACTGGCTCCTCAGCACTTGGCCTTGGTCTCCGCATGTGCAAAAAGCACTGTCACTCCTGCCCAGGCTTGGAAACTTTGCATCGTAGTTCCCGATGAAACTAAAGCAAGGGCTTCGTAACCATACAAGCAATAAGCTAACTGACTATAGACTCAAAGTTTAATAGCCGTGTACCCCAGCACCGCCATCTAAGCCCTCATGGTTGTTCCTTTTAATTACCACAGGTGTTACGATGGGGAGGTCCCTCAGCCGGCATGATGCAGAGCCACCCAAGAAAATTCATATCCTAGTCTTTATTCTGTGACCCTAGTCACTGCTGGGATCTACTATTATCATGTGTTCCTCAATTTTTATTGCATCCTGGACACTGGTGTCTCTCCTCTGGCGTTCATTGTGCAACCAAGATTTCACTTTGAACATGATACAGATGTGGCAGATGCTCCAGCTGTCATCACACTGCCACAGTGGTACCCAAGAACCGCTCACTTCATCAACGTCCTTTACTCCCATGAGTGCCCCTCAGGCACTTGGGCCTGAGGTTGGTAGCTCACGGATTTTTTTTTACTTTGCCAATCAAACACTCTTGGGTTGGATACTTTGTGTTTATAGTTCATAACCAGTAAAGGCTTTTATTTAGCTCTAAGTAAGTATATATATGAAACAATATAACAATAACATCAATAATACCATGTACAGCCAGTACCATGTAGCACTTCCTATGTGCCAGACACTGTTCTCAGTGTTTTATGTATTAACTCATTTTCTTATAACAGTCCTAAGCGATGGGTATTATTGTAATCATCCCCATTGACAAATGAGCAAACCCAGGTATAGAGGTAAATAACTTGCCAAATACACCTAGCATGAGGCACAGTCGGGATATAAACCCAGACCGTCTTAGTCTGAGCCCAAGCTGAAAACTCTGCACCTTCAAAGCTTACCTGAGATAACAAGCATCACCACAGAGACCCACTCTCAAATCTCAATGTCTCTAATCTACATATTCTCTCATTACCCACCTAGGTCCCTCCCCACCCTCTCAAGCTTATCAATTAACACTAACACTAGTATTTACGGAACACTCACTGTGTGTCAGGCCGTGTGGTAAATACTTTACATCCAGTACCTCATTTGATTTTCACAATTACTTCTCAATATATACGCTACTATTGTCCCTCATTTTTCAGAACAAGAGACTGAAGCCAGGCGAGGTGGAGTAACTTCCCCACAGTCTCACAGCTGGTTATGTGGCTGAGCCAGGATTCCAGCCAGGTCTGAGCAGCCCTGAGATCACGACCCTGCATTTCCTGTGGATGTGTTCTGAACCACACCCTTGGCCCTGATTGCTGACTTGCAGTTCCATGACAATCTTCCCTTTACCAAATCTCTTTCTTTGCAGCCCACTGAGGTCTTTTTCCATTTGGATCTCTGATCCCCACACCATTCACCACACCCAGTCTCTGAGCTACTGGAAGGTGAGTCCACTATCTTATTTTTATTTCTTTTGCAGTCCCTCCCTGGACACTATAGACAGAGCATACCCACCCCATGTACACTGACTCACTCACTTGGCCAGGTCACTTGACACAGAGAGGGCCAGCTCTTCAGGGCTGCACCTTCACTACAGCACTGTGGTCTTTTCTTTTCATGAGCTTTTCCTCCCTTGGCTTGAGGTTTGGGTTTACCATCTTTCCAGATAAATAACCCCCTCCTTTGTTGCCTGCACAACTCCACCTAATAGCGTCAGTGGGCTCTAGTCAAGGGCACTGGCCATCACCCCAGACCTGAAGACATTACTGAAAGCATCCAGTATTCTCTCCAAATTTAAGTCAAGCACAGGGGTCAGAGCTGCTCTTCTTCAAGAAGGGAAGTCCCAGAGGAAATCAGCTCTAGGCTCCAGGTGTGCAGAAGAGAAGAAAGCCAAGTCTGACCACCAGTCCCCACTGAGAACTACAGAACCAATCAATACACCCCCCAACCAGATGGTGAGGGTGGAGCATCCACACGAGATCCCCCCTGGTAGCAGCATTTCCAGACAACCCCAAACCACCAGCTTTAGGAAACTTCGTATTGCAGATGCCCCAGGCTAGACACATAGCTGAGTTTCAAGTATATCCATGTAAACAAGGTTGATTTCCTTCCACTGATGCCGCCATTACTACACACAAAGCATCTGTAAGAGTCAAGCTGCTCTTATACTGGACTTTTAAGAGCAGTTCATTTAGCCAACATGATAAACTTGCCAACTCTCTTAGCCTTGAACTTTCATTCTGGGACACAACCCATCATCTCCCTGCAAAGCAGCCTTTCAATGGATCAATGGTTTATATTCTCCTATATTGCTTGTTTAAGGATATGTTTCTGCTGTTTTTATAAGATACTCTCAGTCAACCTGGGTTATTCTTAGTAAATAAAGTCACACTCCTCATCCTTCCTCGTGACGTCTATCCGATAAAGACTTTGCTGCTGCAGATGAAGCGAGGTGCATTGGCTGAGATTCTGGGCACCTTGTGTATATGCCATTAGACTGAGGACTGGGATATCCAGAGAGTTCAGAACAGGAATCATTACCCCAGCACTGCCTACTTATCTCAGCTTATAAAAATAAATATTTGCCCAATAATATGGCAGATTTATGAGCTGCATTTAGTACTGTAATGAAAAAGTCTATCACTGTGTGTGAGACAGAGAAAGTAAAAGAGTTAAGGTTGCCATGGGAGTCCTTGGCACTTCAGAGCCTTTATAATTATGAACAATAATTAGAGGTAATGCTTTATGGTGGTGAAGCACCTCGTGGGCTCCTGATAATTGTAAAGTGTTTGGCAATTCACTCACACTCCCTGAGATTCGGGTGGGTGTAATTAACCCCACGAGGAGAAGCAGCCGCAGGGAAGGGGAGTCACGTGGGGAGAGCCACCCGGCTTTGCGGTGGCACAGACAAAGGGGCCTCCCCAGCCCTTACCCCTCACCACCTCCATCAAAAATCGCTGCCACAGATCCCCGTCCTGGCCCAGGGCCCTTTGCTCCGATGGCTGGGTTGGGTCTGTGGGAATGCTTGCCTAAATGGTGGAGAGGCGGATAGGACCAAAGCCCAGGTGTCAGTCTGTCAGTGTTCCATTTCACTGGATGTGGACATGCAGCCCTGCACAGCTGTGGCAAGAGGAATGCAGAAAGCCACCTGGGGAAAGGGAAGTTGGAGATACGCCACTCAGCTAAGATCAGCTAAGCCTTCGTGAAATCAGTACTCCTGCCCTCTCTTCCCCAAGCAGCTGCAACCGGGGATGGGTCCTTAGTCTGCCAGCTTCTCTGTTTATTGTCCCATGATACAAACATGCTCTTAGGCACCAATAGGAAGCTGGAGAGAGGATGGATCGTTTTAAAGCAAAGTGTTATTGACATTTTATATATATATATATATATATATATATATATATATACACACACACACGTATGTATATATATAGTATATGTATATTATATATGTCTCTATATTATAGACATATGTCATATTATATTATTTTATGTATATTATACTGTATAAATATATTATATATATATATATATATATATATGCAGGTAAATCACTAAAATAAGTGGGTCATATGCTTTGGCTTTGTTATGTCAACTAAAAACTAGATCTCCATTTTCTCCAAAAAAAACCAGCTTATAACTCAGCCAACACCCCCTTTTGTGTCAACTTAAATTTCCATAAGCTAATTCAAACATTTCATTTTCTTGGTTGAAAGCTACTGCCTTTTGTATGCTGACAGATTCCAGTGAGGGAAGGTGCTGGATCACAGCCGCTGACAAATGTTACCCTGTTTCTCAGTCCCTGCCCAAACTGCCAGCGCAGCTCTGAGAGGGTTTGGTAACGGAACAGAGCCTGGCTCGAGACGTCATACACAGAGACAGATACACAGAGCCGGCACGGAGGGCCATCTTTGGCAGCGCCATGGTGCGTGGGAAGACGAGTGTTCTCCCTTGATGCCGTGGTCTCGTTAATACCTGCTCCCAAGAATAATACCTGATCTCGTTAGAGGGTACAGCTGCACTGGCAGCTGAGCCAGGGATGGAGAGGACAGATGAGGTAAACCATGTCTTTTACTTCATTCCAAGGAAGAATCTGTGCAGCACAAGGCCTCTGGCATATTTTGAAAGAATGTTTTATACCAGAGAAGTTAATTTGCTGTGATGAGTTCCATTACATTTGTGAGATTTCTGCTCTATATTTATTTGGAGTCCCTTTTGGTGATTTTCCTCTATGCACCAAAGGCATTCTCTGAAACTTCTAACAACAACTACAGAATCCAAATGCAATGAATAATACCTCTTGGGTTTTAGGAAAAAGAAATGCGTGTGTGACATGAGAAGAGGGTCCTGAGTCATTTGCAAATCCCTGTGACAGGAATTCAGAGGCTGGGGGAGGGAACTGGAGGGCCAGGTGTAGGACTGGGATCTGGGAGAGAGGGGAGTGTGGTCGTTCACTTTCCACACTTCTGTACTGTTTGGAACTCTTACAAATTTCATTTTGTTGACAAGAACAAATGTAGGTTATTTAGGATTCCTACTGCTTTTGCAGCAGCTCAGGGGTACATTATTTGCTGAGCTAGTGATAACAGGGAAGATGCAAACTGCAGGAACAGGGCCTGAGCCAAATGTCAGATCAGACAGGAAGACACAGAGAAGTCCTCTGGGAAGTCCTGAGTGGTAGACAGGACTTGGGGGAGAATTAGAGGCTTCATGGGGAGGCAATGAAGAGAGAGGCACAGCCTGTGGCTGAACACTTGGAAGTAAGACTTGAGGAAAGCAAAACCCTAATGAGGTTTCCCTTCCTCCCCCTCCCTCCCTCCCTCCACTCTCCCTCTATATAGTTGAATCATGTAGTATAGTTAATAGCATATTTAAAACCATAGAACTGTGCTCCAGTGAATTTTGTTTGTGTGTTTGTGATAGTGTGTGGGTTGTGAGTGATGATACTCTATCTACTAAACATGTATTTTGATGAATTAAAGGGTCTCTGTTTCACTAATTGGTTTAAGATTAGTATATTGCTGATTTGCACTATTCAACTAAGTCTACTGGTTATTTGACTATTGAATATCTTGGTTCTTTTACTGTTGAATCAATCAAGTTTTTAATTGATACATGGCTAATTTTCCTCTTTCCTTCCCTTCCTCCCTTTGTTCCCCCCTCCCTCCCTCCCTTCCTGCCTTCCTTCCTTCCTTCCTCTCTGTCTCACGAAATTCTCTGTGCTATGCAATACAGACCCCCCTATAAACCATTAGTAAAGTCTACATTTCTCACTAATGCCTCTTGGAGTGAGTTTCCTTTCTAAGAGATGCAGGAAAATGCAAAATCCTGCTTTGGGGGTGGCGTGGGGGAAAACTAGGGGACAGCCACGTACATATGCACCTAATTCCTATGGTGATAAAAGATGGTTGGTGTAATGGATGGGGGTGAGAAAAGACGATGGAAGTTTCTAATTCTGACCCCACATTCCTTTACATCTACTTAGCAGCCCGGGCCTCCGTCCTCCACATTCTGCAGTGCCCCCACCCACACCACCCCACACCTCCCCATCTCCCTTCTTCCAAAGCAAGTCCACCCACGTGGTCATTCACAGGGGCAGTGCCCAGGATTGGGGGCAAACACCAGCCCCAGCACGTGGGCCCAGGATGCCAGGGATCCAGGTGAAGGCAGCCCCATCTGGCCACAGGCTCTCCCGGGCACCGAGGGTAGCCAGCTAGGCCTGGCCTTTCCGATTCTGCACAAACTCATTAGCCAGGGGCTCAGGCAGGAGCAGAAAGTAGGAGAGCTGTTCCAAGGGCAAGCAACAGTGGTCCAGGCCATCTGGGAGCTGGGAACAGAGGACAAAATGCTCTGAAACCCCCTCTCAGGGTGTAGAGGCAAGCGTCAAAGAGGCAGCACCTCCTGCATGTTCTCAACCCGTCTTTGCACGTCTACTCACGGTGCTGATCAAAAGAGCTTTTCTGAGAGATTAGAAAAGAAAAGAAAGAAAAGGAAAGCCAAACGTTCACACATGCAGTCTTCCTAATTAACACTGCAGGCCCAGAGTGAGAGAGAAAGCAGGTTGGAATTTTTTGAGGCAGCTGTTCTCCCAACAGCAGTCTCTTCTCAGGGAAGCTGCAGGCTACTGCTCTCTGAGTCTGTGAATTCAGAGGGAGGCCTGTGACTGCTTCCCAAGGAAGGGCCAGCTGATGACTGAGGCAAAGTAATCATTCCCAAACCAGCCACATGGGCAGCTGAAATCATGTATCCTGGAATTCACAGGGGCCAAGCGTAACACAAGCGTGTGATGCTTGTTTACCGTGTGCCAGGTCCTGTGCCATGTGAGCACAGAGAAGGGACCTGGGTTCAGGGGCCGCTTCCTGGACGAGAGTCAATAAAATGTCATGTCTATACTTATCAAGCTTGAATTCAGCCCCAACAATGCCAGGCCCTGGATACAGCCCAATATCTAAAGAAGGGTGAGCTACGAGGTAAAGCCCAACACGCTGGTGGAATGCACGAGGGAAACCCACGATGGACGGGGCTTTGATTCAGACAAATCTGTCTTTGAACTTTATGTCCATTGCCTCCTTGCCGTGTGACCACAGGCAATGATGTTTCCTCACTGGCAAGGGGGGGGGGGCACAGACACACCCTCTGTGCTCACGACACACCCACGTCCTGACCCTAGCAGGGTTCACATTGCATTTGTTACCATTGTTTACTCAATCTGCCTTTGTTGCACTACTGTGAACTCCTTGTGGAGAGAGGGATGGTAACTCTATTTATTCCCAGCACCTAGCACAATGCCTGATAATACACAGTAGATGTTCATAGAATGAGTGAATGACCTAAATGAGTGACATTTCCTGAATAAATTAAGCGACAAAATAACAACGGAGTAGCTTTATGCAATGGAGATGGCACCAGCTGTGGAATCAGAAATCCTGCCTTCACATCTAGCTACTTTACCTAATAACTGTGTGTCTTTGGATAAATCACTTAGCCTTTCCGGGCTTCTGCTGCCATGTCTACAAGCAGAGACAGCTGGAATTAAGATCCTCAAGGTCATATCCAATGCTGATATTCTACGGAGTTTAGGCTGAGTAGAGTCCATGCAACTCCTTTATGAAGCAACCTGCTCAGATAAGATGCTCCAAGCTCAGAGTGAAGAAATGCCCTTCCTCAGACCCACAGTTCAAGGATTTCTCTCCTGGGCTGGGCAACCCCACAGCTCTGCCCCTACTGACCCCCGCCTCTGGTCCCCTGGCTACTGCTCTGCCCAGGTACCAACATGTCCACCACATCCCCTTTGCTTGGTCCTCACTTCAGTCTCTTTCTGATTTGAGTTCCTCCCTTACTACTCCCTTTATGTAGGCTTAGTCCTCAAGCTAATACCCCTCCCACCTGCCCCACCTTTGTGGGCAGGACCCACTCAGGAGCTTTGACACCTCTAATTAGAATGTCAGCCTCCATCTTAAAATGATTCCCTGGACTTGTGGCAGATCAGGAAATCTTCATGAAGGGTTAATTTTTAAGTTGCCGGTGCAAGGTGTTATTAATGGATTTGAGCAAACAGATTGGAGGACACGCTGCAATACAGATATTGCTAATCAACACCATTCCAGCAGGCATATGCTAATTGGGCACCTCCTCTGCTCGAATCCACTCCCTCCATCAAGCGGCTTTGATAAGAGAGTGTGAGAGCAGGGTGTAAATTTGTTTGCAGAGACACTCAGCCACTGCCCAGCGCACACAGGCAAGTAGGCAGCTGGCAGAGCAGGGACAGAGCGCTTCAGACAGAAAATGCCCTTTCCACCTCCCATTGCCTGTGAGTTTTGCAGTGAAAATGGCCAGAAGCGTTTTGCAGTGAAATGATGGCAGAGACACAGCGATTGAGTCAGCAAAAATCTGGGAGGTCTAGTTTCTAAACCTGACATACTTGGGATGAAATGATTTAAATTTGTGTTTAAAATGGGGGGAAAAGTCACCCTGAGGCTTATTTGCAAAGGGCTTTGTATTGCGGGAATAAGAAGAAGCCATAAGAACTAAGGATGCAGAACCTGAAGAAGAGGCCCAGGCAGGGGATGCCAGACCTTCACACACATGCAGGGTGGCGGGAGAATAAGGGATCTGTCTGTGGCCCCCTGTGGGGCAGAGCAGGACAGGGGCTGGAAGATTTCGGCTCTACGTGGAACACTCTTAAATGATTCGAGCTCTGGGCTAGCGAGCTTCCTATCCCTGTTTGAGTCTGGATGACCATGGCAGGATGGTCACAAATGGGCCTCTATCACAGGGATGGGCTCACATCACGTGAACATGAAGCTTCTCTCTGACCCTGACATCTGACCAGATATGCTCGGCCTCATAACTGTGAGAGGGCAATGCTGAGTCTACAGGGGCTGGGGCATGGGAGTCTATCATGGGCCTGGGATACTTTGTTTTTTTAAATTCTTCCCACATCTTTATTGTTCATGGCAGATATTTTGCTTCCCAACCCCTTGATATCCAGATGCCATACCTGAGTGACTACTGTCCACACTCTACGGATGCTAAAGAAGTTTTATATGACCCTGCCCGTAAGGACGTATCAGAGGACCTGACAGAATCCTCTCCCTCGTCAGGTGGACTCACTCACTGTTGGACAGCACCATGGGGACTGGAAGGCCAGAGGGCCTGGCCCTTCCGATGGGGAGAATCCTGCTATTCACAGCCATCTGCCTACAGTTAATTGTCTGTGTCCTTTATTCACAGAGCGTGCACTTGTGTCATCGATACTTTCCCACCAAACACTGCAACGACACAATGTGTAAGAAACAATCCTGCCCCCCAAGCAGCTTAAAATCTGGGGAGATAAAGCAGCATGTATGCGGGGAAGAATTAGAGGGCATCCGGACATTAAACTTTGTGGAAACAGCCCTAAGTGCGATCGAAATGACAGGCAGGCCCTGATCAGTAGGGGCAGGCAAACCACAGCCAACATTCCAGACCTGCTGCATATTAGTTCAGTGACCTTGGACAGTTACTTAATCTCTCTGAGCCTCATTTTACTTACCTGTAAAATGGGAATAAGAATACTCACCTTTCTGGACTGTTTTAAAGATTACAGATAACATACATAAATTACCATATAGTGATAACATTCCTATAGTGCTTATTATCTATCACATTCTGTTACATAGACTAACTCTATGAGGTACGTACTATTACCATCCCCAATATATAAAGCAGGTGACTGAGTCCCTAAGATATAAGTAACTTGCCCAAGGTCAGCAGCTAGTAGGTGACGGAGCCAGAATTTATACTCAGACAGACTGGCTAGATGCAGTCTTAACCACTACACCACATTGGCTGATACAGTAGGTGCTTAATAATCTGTCATTGTTCCTACCAGGATCACCTTCTCCACCATGACTAGTGTGGGCTAGACTATTTGGCAGAGTTTCCATCAGGAATAGCATCTAGGCCGAAAGATTGAAGCGTTTTGTTAGTTAAGTGGGAAGAATAGAGGACATCCCAGGCAAAGGAACGGCAGGAGCAAAGGTGGGAGCAGCCCTGGCCCTGAGAGGGACAGAGCAGACCCGCCTGGCTGAAGCGTGGCATGAGCTGGGAGCCATAAAGAATGCCCCAGATCACTGGGGCTGGGGCCAGAACTTGGAAGCTCTGAAAAGCACACAGAAGACTCTGGAGTCAGTGACGGTCATAGGAGGCCAGGCCAGTGCTCAGGCAGGGCAATGTGACATATTGAATAGAAGCTGTGTTTTAGAAAATCAGCTAAACAGCAGACAGACCAATCTTGGCAGGAAAGCCAGCAAGGACACTGTTGGTAATAATGAGGTCTAAAGTGATGACACGATGAAATTGGAGAAAAGGGCAGATGAGTTTCATTGTAAGGGTCTAAATTCAGTGAAGGAGACAGAGGAGTGAACGAAAGGGAATGGGAAGGAAACATTAAAAGATGCCCCCGCCCCCAGCTTTACCAGTGATAACCCTTAAAAAAGCTGTGGCCGCATTTTTCAACTTTCACTTCCCCAGGTGATCTCACCTCTGCTCGGGGCAGTGCAACAAACATTTATAAAGCATCCACAATCCACTAGGCCTGAGCACGATGGGCACCTGGGGAACGTGCACTACGTGGGCCTGAGGTCCCCGTCCTCAGAGTGGAGGATCCTTTCCTCCTCTGGGAAAGCAGACCAGAACCATGCACCCTGTCTGTGGCTCTCTGAAGCCCTTCCAGGAGACGGGCTGCATATCGGCAACAACAGAGGAAACAGGATGCTCTCTGAAAATCCTTTTTTAACAATCCTTCTGTTTAGAAATCACGATACCTTGCTCTTTTGATGTGACCCACATGCCCACACATTTTTTAAAGGAGAGATGAGGGGAGAGCTTGTCCATTTGCACCCAAATAAGGTGAAAAGTGATGGAGAGTAAATGTTGCAGAGCTCTTAATTCCTGCCCTTGGTGAAACAAGAGATGGGTCAGAATACTCCCTACCTTCAGAATCCAATTGCAGGGTCAACTGTTGCCAACTCAGAGCTCATCTGCAGGCCATTTGTTGCAAAGCCCTCTGCAATCTGACCCTGTCACCGAAGGAGACACCAGCTCGGAGGTTTTGAGGTTATTCGGAGGGTCGAATGATCCCACCTTTGGGCAGAAAGTTGAAGCAACGTGGAAAATACCCAGCATTAAATAAAAGGAAATAAAGAGCAAGTGAAACCCTTTGTTCAGACTTCAGCTTCTTGGATCTTCTATCTCATTTCCCTGTGACCATCTCCCGCCTTGGGCAGGACTCCCCTTCTGGGGATGGGAGAGGCTAAGGAAGCTCCCTCCAACCTGGTAACAAACTCCAGAGACACCAGGGCCAAAGATGACAAGGGAGATCCCTAGTGGAGAGGGCCCACTGGGCCCAGCCAAACCCCTACGCAGCAAGTCTGTTTCCTTCTCAATAGCCAAGCCTGGCTCCCAGGCCAGGAGAAATTAGATTAGTCTGACAAGATTTGCGCTGTCAGAAAGCAAGTTTTATTTTTGCCCTCAAGCCTGTGATCTTCTAGGTGTCTGCAAACTGGGAAATTATTTTTCCCCAGATGTAGAAATCAAGGTATTCCACTTTGCCTTCCTGCCTTCGCTTCCCACATGGTGTTGGCTCCGCTGCTTGGTGCCAGCTGACCTCTGCAGCGTCAGAACCGAGCTGGAATCTTGCCTGTGCCACTTTCAAGTTATGTTATTCTGGGTGAGTTTTTTTTTTTTTAACCCTCTCTGGATCTCAGTCTTCTTATCTGGAAAACACACAGGGTTAGACTAGATGGTCTCTATGGTGTGAATGAAATGCATGTATTTTAATACGATCTGTTTTGTCTTTTCACCTTACTTACAAAAAGGGCAGCATCTTACTTCTGTAGATCTGAGAACATTCGCCACATTTTGGAAATGTATTGTCCTTACCAAATGGAGGGAACGAGTAATGGAGGAAAACATAATAAACAGAGAGGGCAAGAAATGAAATGGTCTGGTTTGCAGAGACTGAAACATCCAGCCTGTAGTTTCAAAGGCCGAGCTTTGCAGACCCCCCAGCTTGGCTCTCTCACTTACACCTGGCTGGAGTACCTCTCGGTCATTAGCCTCCATGGGAAACACTGTCTGAAGCTCCATCTCTCAGACCGCCTCCCCAGTGACTTGACAGCCTCAGGGTTAAGAGCAAATGAGTCGAGCTGCAGAGGACACGAGATGTTCTTGCTGGGCTTTCAAAGGAACATAAGGGTGGCAGGACAAGAATTCTGCCCTCCGGACCAGCACACAGGGATCAACAGCATGATAAAGGGGCTTTGGGTAAGTACTGGCTTTGTGGTACAATCACCAGCCCGCTAGCAGTTCAGCGGAAAGAGGTCAGGGGAGCTGGAACAGGTATGGCACAGGGAACACCAACCATGCACAATGCTCCAAGAACCAAGAAAGAAAGAGCATGTCACCTCTAGCAACCAAACTAGTGGCCCCATCATTCATCCATGCCTTTCTTCTACCAAGACGCATTGAGAACTACTACACCCCAGAAAGGAGGATAAGGAGATTAAAATATAGCACCCCACCCTCCCAGATACTGCTGGTGGAAAAGCGTACAACTTAATGTATGACTATGGCGCAAGTACTTTACTTGAGGGAGAGTACCTGGGCTCCTCACTGAGCTCCTAATTACTCTTTTTAAAAACTTAACTTTATTGAGATATAATCTATATATTATAAAATTCACCCACTTTAAACATAATTCAATGAGTTCTAAGTTTATAGAGATGTGTAGCTATCACCATAATCCAGTTTTAGAACATTTTCCTCATCTCAACAAATTCATCTCATCTCATTTGCAATTAATCCCTGTTTCCAACCCTAACCAATCATTTGCCTACTTTCTATCTCCATATTTGCCTTTTCTGGACACTTCATATAAATGGAATCATAGATATATGTAGTCTTTTGTGTCAGGCTTCTTTCATTTAGCATGATGATCGTGAGGTTCACCCATGTTGTAGCGTGTAGGAGTACGTCTTTCCCTTTTATGGTTGAATAATATTCCATTGTATGGATATATCACATTTTATTTATCCATTCATCAGTTGATGGACATTCGGATGGTTTCCACTTTTTAGCTGTATGAACAGTGCTGCTATTAACATTTGTGTGCAAGTCTTTGTGTCAACGTGTTTTCATTTTGGGGGGGTAGAAACCTAGGAGTAGAATTGCTGTGCTATATGGTACACTTACGTTTAACATTTTAATAAACTGTCAAGCTGTTTTCCAAAGTGGCTATACCATTTTATATGTTCACAGCAGCATAGGAGTGTTCCCATTTTTCTACATCTTCACCACCATTTGTTATCATCTGTCTTTTTGATTACAGCAATTCTAGTGGGTGTGAAATGGTACCTCATTGTGGCTTAAATTTGCATTTCCCTAACGACTAATGATGTTGAGCATATTTTCAGGTCTTTAGTGATCATATATCTTCTTTCTCCACTGAATTGCCTTGCACCTTTGTCAAAATCAATCAACTTTAAGTACAAGGGTTTATTTCTAGACTCTCAGTTCTGTCTCATTGATCTATATGCCTATCCTTATGCCAATACTATACTGTCTTGATCATCGTAGCTTTATAGCAAGTTTGAAATTAGGAAGTGAAAGTCCTCCAACTTTGTTCTTTTTTTTGCAGAATTATTCTGGTTATTCTAGGTTTTGCTTTTCCGTACAAATTTTAGGAATAGCCTGTCACTTTCTATAAAAAAAAAAGGTTGAAATTTTTATAGAAATTATAAATCAGTAGGAATAACTGCCATCTTAACACTGCTGAGTCTTCCAATCCACGAATGTGAAATGCCTCTC